ACCGCTTTGTAGGGTGTCGTGTGTTGTTACACTCGGCAAAGCCTTTGCCGAGTGTTTTTTAAAACTTTGCCGAGTGCCTATGGCACACGACAAAGCCACTGTTTTCGATAGTGGTTTTGCTTCCTCCTCACTCCTCCCCAATGCAATCTAGAGTATGGGCGCATAGCAAACTTGCTTAAACAACACTCACACGAGTATCACTAAGGCACAAACAACGCGTCTTATTTGACTGCTAACTTATGTTTGTTGCTGAGTATGATGTTTTTTTTCATCTAATAACAACACCGCATCTTCGTCTACTAGGATTGCAATTTCTTTCTAAACTATTTAGGGTTAGTTTGGCAGGACTCTGGCTCCTCTTGTGGCCAATTTATAAAGTAGAGCTGAAGCTATTTTGGAAAACATTTGTCAAAAACAGCTCCAAGAGTAGTTTTGTTATAATTTATGCCAAATTGTGAGGAGGAGCAAGAAACCACAATTTTGTGGTTCCACCAGGCTTCTTCACCGGAGCCTTTTCTTGGATGGTCATTTGGCAAGGCTTTTGCCGAAGCCGGAGCAACTCCACTATACCCCCTCAATTAGGTACTAAACGGTGATAATTACTAATTAGTACTTTATTTACTTGATTTTTCATTGTGATAATTCTTAATGATATCTAAGTAATTTATGGTTAGTATGGACATAAAGAACCGTTGACGGACCATGATAGTCTTTCTGCAGGCATGTCAATATTTGGCAATCTGCCATTGAGGACCGATTGATTATTGTTTTCCTTTTTACTTGATGTCAGGTTTTTGTTGAAAATTTGGATAGAGTGGAGAGGTTGAATCCCTTTTTGCTAGAGGTAGGTTCATATTTTTCTGATACCATTTTTTGGAGGGAAATCGAAGGCACCTCATGTCACTGCTAGAAATATCCACTTCTATGATGAAAAATCTTAATGACAAATCTAGAACTGTCATAGAAGATCGCTTTTTATGACGAATATTTCTATTTCGTCATAGATCGGTAGTGACGATCCTAGAACCCTCTCTTTCTATAACGAAATCAGGCATCGTCACAAAAAACGTCATAGAAGAGCGCGACTCATCTATGATGATCTCCTTTAAAACTATGGCGAACAAGGCTTCATCATTGAACTAATTATACATCTGTGATGAATAATATTCGATCTGTGATGAATGACTTCGTCATAGATCTTCACACGATACTTTCTCCAACCGACGTGTACCTGTGGAGCCTACAGTTACTCATCCGTGACGCTTGCAATTCGTCATAAAAGTCTCCGCTCGATCATATGTCCATGCTATATGTACCTATGGGACCCTTCTCCATCCTACGTGTACCTGTGGCACCTACAGTTACTCATCCGTGACGCTTGCAATTCGTCATAAAAGTCTTCGCTCGGTCCTTAATCCGTCCGACGTGTACCTGCGGGACCTTCACAAGATCCGGACCTGTGGGACCCGATGGCTTACGTGTCACATGTACCCGTGGGACCATCTTCCATCTCTATCCAACCCGTGGGACCCGATGGCCCATCTCCATCCGACCAAAGGGGGACCACGGCCCATCTCCATCCGGACCTATGGGACTGACGGCCATTGCGTGTCACTTGACGCTTGCAATTCATCATAAAAGTCTCTACTTGGCCCTTTTTCATCTCGACTGTGGGACCCGGATGGCTTACGTGTCACGTATACTTGTGGGACCTTTCTCCATCTCCATCCGACTGCGGGACCCGATGGTTTCGCGTGTCACTTGTACCATGTGTGCCATCGGGTTTAATTTCTCAAAAAGGTCGATAACCGGGAGTCGAACATGGGATCTCGGACCAAGGATTGGCTGCGTCTTTACCATTGCGCTAGATGCCCGGCGCGTGGCCGACATCTCTTTGGAGTTACTATAGTATCATATTGGCTATGTTATAGGTTGACCTAAATTGGATATATCCTGCAAGTAGAAACAAATTGCCCGGCTCTTGTTGGACTTATGGCGGCGGAGGAGGCGAAGGATCCCGATGCGCTATGGTGGCTCAAAGCGCCCTTTTGGTGGAGTGGAGGGCTCTCTCGGTGGAGCATGGCGGCATTGGTGTCCATGTGATCGTGTGTGTCAGTGATAGAGGCGACTATGCCGAAACTGTGCTATTCATAGAATAAAGGTATGAGTACCTTCTCACGTGATTATAAGACTCTATTTCTCGTACACGATAAAGTAAAAAAACACATAAGGAAAGGCTATTATGTATGAATTTCAATTGAGATCAATGCTTTTGTCACATAAAAATAGAAAAATAGATCGTCCTATAGTATGATACTAACAAATGCACATATTAGTGCTTTCGAACACTATATGCTTTGTTCTAATGCTATTTTTGCCATTGTCCACCTAATGGTCGTAAACTCTAACGGACTTTGCATATTTTTGCTGCAATGTATGGACAGATCCTGGATTCCTAATGGGAGACCATTTCTCCTGCCGACGCTCATCGAGGAGGAGTTGAAGAGTTCATGGATATGGTTAAACAAAAATATACCGATAAAACATCCCTTGCCGCGGGTGTACACATTGTCTTAACTAGGTGGTTAAACTTGACCGGAGGTGAAGGACGACTTACTTATAAATAAAATGTCACCCACATACACCATATGAATTCATCATGGGGAAGAGGGAGGAGGTACTGACATTATAGAGCCATCAGATGTGCATGGATCTCATCATGATGGTTGGATTACGGAGGAGGAGGAGCAGGAGGACCGCGACGATAACATATTACCAGATTTTGATGATTTAGTTTAAAACATGTTGACATTTGAAGAGTAGATTGGAAGAGTCCCAATGTTTGAAAGAGTGTTGGATGAGTTGAAGCAATCAGTTTCTTCTAGATCTATCTTCTCAATATTCTTCTTCCTTGTCAGATTGCTCTATATCAAGTCCTACTATCGAGTTAGCAACAACTATTTTGATGCACTATTGGCATTGCTGTCAGATGCATTCCCTAGTAGCAACATTCCAAAATCATGTGAGGAGGCCAGCAAATATATTCGAGACTTGGGACAAGGTTATGAAAGTATCCATGTGAGCAAGAACAACTGTGTGTTGTTTTGGGGTGATCGTGAGGAATTACAAGCATGTCTAAAATGCAAAAAGTCTAGATGGGAGGATGCAGATGGTAGCAGGCTGGTTCCTCATAAGGTTTTGAGGTATTTTCCTCTAATACCGAGGTTGTAGAGGATCTTTACGTCAAGAACAAAGATAGCAGACACCAAATGGCATGAGACTAAGTGAGAGAAGAATACTGGTGAAATGAGCCATCCAGCAGACAAGGAGGCATGGTAGGACTTTAATAGAAAGCACCCAACTTTTGCAGATGATCCAAGGAACTTGAGGCTTGCCGTCGCCACGAATGGTTTCAATCCATTTGGCAACTTTAGCTCGACATATATAGTATGTGGCCTATTTTTTGTAACGCTCTAAACCTACCACCATGGGAATGTATGAACCCATCGAATTGCTTTATATATGTCTCTCATCGATCCTGGGCCCAACCTCTCCAGGAAAGGATTTTGATGTATTCTTGGAGCCTCTTATAGAAGAACTAAAAGAACTATGGAAGGGTGTCAACACTATTCATGTACTACATCGTGATAATAGAAAAGGCTTCACTCTGACACTCTTGCTTGCCGTGCTTTGGTGCATACATGATTTTCCAAGTGTTGAGCACCTTGTCAGCCCGAACTACAAAAGGTTATTATGCATGTATTTATTGTGACAAAATCCAATATCAAGGAGCCTAAGAAAGAAGCTAGGCTACCTTGGACATCAAGTATTACCTTCCTAGGGATCACCCTTGAGGAAGAGCATGGATTTTGATGGAAAAACCGAGGACTAAGATACGCCGAGAAAAGTTCGCCTCAAAGGAGGTCCTTGAGGAATTTGAGAAGGTGAAAGATATTTGCCTGTAAGCACGGTGGAAAAAAGGAAACTAAAGCGTGGAGAATAGCCGGTGATCGATAATAAAAATTTTTCTTGGTGGGGCTGCCGATTATTGGAAGGACCTGTCATTGCCACAATCTTGATGTCATGCACATTGAGAAGAACATATGTGATAACATTCTTTGGACATTGCTGAAAGTGGAGGGCAAGACAAAGGACACAATGAATGCTAGGCTAGATTTGCATGAATGAACATAAGACCTCAATATCACGCCGTGCAAGAGGGCACCTTGCTTAAATTCCTGTAAGCTCACTATGTCATGACGGAAAAACACAGAGTAAAATTTTGCAAGTTCCTTAAAGGTGTCAAGTTTCGGATGGTTATGTAGCCAACCTAGCAAAATCCATAAGTGCAGATGGTACCAAGGTAGTTGGCAAGCTGAAAACGATACTTGCTATGTCCTTCTCCAGAGGATCATACACCGCAGCTTAAGAAGTTTTGTTCCCAAAGATATATCTTAAGCTGTTTTAGAACTTGGGAACTTCTTCAGCAACTATGCAAGAGAACTCCTGAGGAAAAAGTCATGGAAAAGCTGAAACAGGACATCCCACTCATCTTATACATGCTTGAGAAGATTTTTCCACCGGCCTTTTTCGATGTTATGGTGCACTTGCCGTCCATCTACCCTAACGAGGCACTTTTTAGAGGGCGGTCCTCAATTATTATCCTAGCATATTCTTTGGTATGGTCTTCTCGTATTGTTTATTTCCTTTAACTTATATTTTCCTGAAGCATATCTATATATTCTTTCTTCTGTATTTGGCTAGTATTTATGTGGCTTTTGTTTTAATATAGCACCCCATCCTAACTCAGATGCATCTATCTTTTATAATGAAATAATTATCATATATATATATATATATATATTATGCCGTCCTGCCGCGTCGTCCAGGGTCAACCGATATATATGTATATATGTATGCCGTCCTGCCGCATCGTCCAGGTCGACCGATCCCCGGCAGGCCGGTTATTGCAGCAGGCAGGGGCGCAGGGCAGGGGAGAAATGGGGAAGGTCTCTGGGGACGTCGTGGTGTTCCTCGTCGTCTTCCCTCTAAGCATGAACATCTGCTTCTTTCTCGCGGGCATCCAGTTCGGGCGTTTGCTGGAGAGGGAGGCGGACAACAGCGGCGGCGTCGAATTCACCTGGCGAGGAGCACTCGACAACGTCACCAAGGTGATCGATCGATAGATCATGTCGTCGACGATAGCAATGGCTCCAGCTATCATTGTTTCATAGCCAAAGAAATATTGCTTATATATATATGAAGCAGTACTAGTAGCAGTGTGTGTGTATATATATATATATATATACTGCTAATATATATATATATATATATATATATATATATATATATATAAAAAAGATTCTTCTTCTCTTATATTTGGTTTCATTTATATTGGTTTTATTTCATTGGCCTTCTTATATTTTTTGGATATAGTCTTTAGCTGCTAGCTCTAAATAATAGTTTACTCCCAGAATAGTTCTTGCATATGAAAGAGCTTAATCAATGTCTAAATATTTTTTCCATGACACTCCTCCATCTTTTCTCTTTTCTATTTGCTTGAGCAATAACTTCTTCAAATGATATATAAATTCCTAGTGTTTTTCCCTATATATAACATATATGGCTTTTTTTTCTCCATATTGCTAGATGGTTCTTTTGGTTGTATTTTGCCATTAATCATATGAAAATATTCAAATAAGACTATTTAATATAGCTAGCATACAATCTTTTATCTTCTCTTTTATTGTTATATTGAAACCAAAAATTGTCTAGAATGCATTCTTGTATGTCATCTAGAACAATATGGTCTCGAGGCTTAAATTTATAGGTATTTGGTGGAAAAATTCTTAACTTATTATCGGGTTCCAAAGCTGAAACATTCACCCCCAATAGGGCTTGTTCTCTCTTCATTCCCGCAAAATAGAAGATCGTAAAAATATATCAGACAATGTATTATCTTTGCCTTTTATATGCTCAAATATTACTTTATAACTATTTCCAAGAATAATATCTTCAAATAAAACCCAACGCCTAGTTTAACTTTTCTTACTATTGACTTTATTGTAGTATCTGCGCATATAGTTTCACAAATCGGTTCTAATCTGTGAACTCTTTAAATCCTAGATATAGTCTAAAAAGCATTTATTGCATTTATACAGCTAAAATTTCCCTATCCGTATTGTTTATTGCTTTTAACTTATATTTTCCTGAAGCATACCTACATATTTTTTTCTTCTAACTTTGTAGAGTACTTATGTGGTTTTGTTTTAATATTGCACTCCATCCTAACTTGATGCATCAGTCTCTATAATAAAATAATTATCATCTAAAGGTAACTCTAGGGTTTTAAGTCTTGACCCTTTTCTTTAATAGTTCTTACTAACTTTATATCTTTGTAATTAAAATGTTTTTGCCTGCTTTTTTCTTAATTTTGCATACAATGGACCAGCTAGCTTAGCTAAATTTTTAATATAATTTCTAGCATAATTTACTATTCCTAAGAATTGCTCGTGGTTTTCTTATCATTCATGACATCCTGAAATTCTAAAATTTTCTTTACAATATGATCTTGTAAATAAATTTTTCCTCTCCTATTTCATGACCTAAAAGTTTATCTTTTCATTACATATCTCCATTTTTCTTTTAGACAATATTAACCCATGATGTTCTACCTTTCTAAAGAAGGTTTCCAGATGAGCTATATGTTCTTTATAGGATTTTGAGAATACTAATAAGTCATCAATATAAACTAATATGAATTTTGATTTTCATTAAAAATATTTTGCATTTTTCTTTGAAATAAAGCAGGGCATTTTTAATCCTAAGGGCATTACTAACCATTCAAAATGACCCTTGAGGACATGTGAAAGCAAAATCTATTCTATTGATTCTTCTACCATTTTTAGTTGCCAAAACCTAGCTTTTAGATCAAATTTTGAAAAATATTTGCTTCCCCTGTATTCTATTTATCCATTCTTGCTTATTTGGGATATTATAAGCATCATCTATAGTATTATCATTTAGCCTTTTATAATTAATAACCATTCTTGACTTTTCTCTAGCTATTTCAAAGATGATTTCTAACTATAAATGAAGTCGATCTATGAGGACTCTTGACTTTCTCTTATAGCTCCTAATTTTAGTAATTCTTCAATATGCATTTTAAAATCTTCTATATCTTTAGGTGTTGCTTCTATAGGACTTATCTTAATTATATAGTCGTGGATTTATTATGTTAATTTTACATACTATTCCATTCTTGTCCCAATGCTTCATTAGTATTTCTTCTATTATCCCAATATCTTCTAATCTTTGTTACAATTTTATCTATATCCTTTTTAGATTTTATATCTCATACCAATTAGGTGCTAATGATTTGAGATTGATACATTCTATGCATGAATTTGCTATATAAAATTCTTCAATATTTTCACCTAACTCTTCATCTATATGATTACCAAAGTGACCTTTTCATCAGATCCTTAGAGTTCTAGGTTGGTCTTTCCTGGATTTAGAATTTATAGACTTTCCTACTTCATTATATATGGAATGTTGTCTTGATAAGGATAAATGTTATTCCTTACTCATGTATGATTATTGTTTGTAAAAGAAAATTGTAAAAAATCTTAATCCTAATATCATATCATCATGTATCATAGATAAATCTCTTATTGTAATTTCATCCATTATATATTTTGTGTTATTTATTTGTACCTCAACATCATAAGCTAGTTGATTATGAACCTTTTTATTCCTTTATATATCGGTGATATTTCGCTTTTATCTTGATCTATTGTATGAACTATCTCTAGACATTTTACAAAAAATATTTATCATGTATAATATTTTTTTTGTACAACTCTGTGTCTACTAACGCTAATATTTTATATGAGATATTAGGCGTTAATTTTACTTTTTTACAGTACTCTTATTCCTATGATCTCTTTAAATGGTAATCTAACTATATATTTGCTACCAAAGTTTATTATGGCATCTTTTTTAATTGTATAGCTTTATCATTTTTTCTATTTGATATGGCTTGATCCTTTAACTCGGTCATGCCTCTTTCATTTTCTTCGATCTTATTTACTTCATTGAGCTCTATTTTACTCCTTAGCTCTTCTAACTCAAGCTTCTAAGCTATTTATTCTATTCTCCAAATTTCGACTCTACTTATTAGTAGTTTATCTTCTGATTCTAGCCTCTACTTCTTGCCTCCATTTTTGGTTATTAATTCTTAGACATGAAGCACATGCTTGCTTTAAACATTTACTACATGTAAGTCCTGTTTTCTTGACTAGGGTAAAATATACAAAAGTACATTCTATATTATAATCACCTCTTCCTTTTATCCAATCATGCTCATGTCTTCTTGATTCATTAATTCTATTTTGTTTCTATTGAGCTATCAATATTTTTCAGATATTATATCTAACCCCTTCCATTGCGATTATCTAGATTGCACAACTCTTCATCATCTAAAGAGTCTATAAAATCTTGGTAACTCTCATTATTTTCTTCTTCATAACTTTCTAATAAAACTTATTATTAATCTTCCCACTGCTCTTCTTCATTTGTAATGTATTCAATATTATTTTTCCGCACCACTTTTTAACTTCATGAATCTCTTTGTCTTTCATTTTTAACTCATCTTCCTCGCTTCTTTATCACAACAGTGTTTTTAAAAATATTTATTCTTTAGTTCTCTATCTTTTGATATTATCAAGTTCATATAACTCTCATCTAAAGTAGAGTTCTTTTTCTCTTATGGCAGACCATTTTACATATCATAGAGGTTTTGTATTCTTCATGAATTTTGCTTAGCTTTTGCTCATAATATTGAATCAATTGCCTAAATTGTCCATTATAAGTAAAGTATTAGGACCTGAGACTACTTGTTTGAACTTGGTAAAATAATTAAATCCCTTTAATTCAAAAATATAATAACCAAGTGCTCCGATACCACTCGCGACTGGGTAATTTTATTCACCGAGAACTCAAACGGATCTTCAAATTAAATTTTAGATCTCGAAGTTACTATTCACAAGCACTATTTAAATTCAAATTCACTATTCAAATTTCGCGGTCATTATTCAAATTGGATATGAACATATGTTACGAGGTAGCCAACCACTTTACTATTCAAGGATAGAAGCCTCTGAAGTGTCGCTTCAACGCCGAATATTTTATTATTGATTGGATGAGTTAAGCGAGTGATTAGCTAATATAAATATTGATATGTCGCTTTTCATGATTAGTTAAGCTAATTAGCTTAGTGAATATGCGTTGGTGCGGATGATTATTTCTAAGGATCTTTTGTAGGTCAATAGACCAATAGTTTCAAATTGGTGGCATGCTGACTATGCTTGTGACATCCTACTCAGACTTTCACTGTGATGCATCACAGCTCGCTTCAACTGTAAGCTAGCCCGGTCTACTCCCTTGCTATCCCCAACACGAACATACGTGACTCGAGGCCCTATCGCTCCCTGTGCAGCCCACCCAAGGGGAACATCTGCGCACAAGGTGGTTCTCTACAAACGCGCGCTATATCGTGGCTAACACGAGAACAACACACACAAAGGTTTCTCCTCCAGGGTCCCTATATAGAGACGCTGCCCCATATGAACGAAAGCTTGAAGGAAGGCGGTGGATTAAAACAGAAAGCTTTTAATTCATTTCATATAGAGCAAGTTTACATACGGCTTTTTTTGGAAACCTCAAGCACTTAGCACAAACCTTAGGGATTACCTTACAAGCGCGCAGATGATCATTTGAGGACCTCCCTTTATTCTCTAATTTACAAAGGTGGAGTGATACAATGGGTAGGTGGAGTGATTACATTAATGGTGGATGATCCTCAGAGGCTTTCAGAGATCATGTCTTTCATGTGTGTGTGGGTGGAGAGTTGGTGGAGTAGGTGTACTCGAGGATCTTGGAGGCTCTTCGATGGTGTCACGATGCGATGATTCTTCGATGATGAATGAATGCGCCTTGGCCCTCCTTTTATAGCATGAAGGAAGTTGCTTTCATTCTTATCTTCAAGGAGCGAGCCTTATCGTTGAGAAGAAGTTTCGAGGCTTAAGTCTTCAATTATCTCTTCGTATCGCAAGGTTCGGATACCGGACGGAGAATAATTGTCCTGCCACATTAGAGTGATTGTATATTCCTTTTGCGTCCTCCT